CATGACAGTTGTAAAGTGGGTCAGCCATTTTTTTGTGACCTTTTTTCCAGTGATCACTGGAAAAATCAAACTCATAGTTTGCTATGCACCAGTTTTGCCAAAACCATTGTAAAACATGGTCCTATTACTGTGGGATGCTGCAAATGACCGTAAATGCCAAGCGCCCAAAGTGCGGTCTTTTTCACGGGAGGTGGGAAGGCGGATGATTGTAAGAATTTTGAATCCAGGTTGTAAGTGATCCCCTGAATAGGTCCATTGTAACTTCAAATGGTTGCTTAGTGACCGGTTGTAAATCAAAAATTACTCCTACTCATCATTATTTTCTACCTCTTGATGTTTCAGTACTCTCTTTTACTCTCTTTTAACCAGTTAGGACAGATCTTTCCTCATTCAATTAGGTGTATGTAGAAAGAGGTTTGATGGCTAGATATTTTCTGATTTGTCAGCTGATATCAGAGATGGAACATATCACTTGACTGGATAAAACAACAGTTAACTCCCCTAAGGGGCTGGGCTTAAGTGCCTGTATTTTGTATAAAATGGGGAAACTATTACTTCAAACTAAATAAACAGAATACTCTACCCAGAAGCAACAAAATAAAGGAATAGAAAATTCTGTCAAGATATCATCTTTGAAATGAATCTTCCATATGTTCTAAAACGCAGGATCATGATTAAGCAGGTAGAATGTATATTGCTAATTAGAGATTTTATTCAGAATGTTTTGCAATTGTTTTTGGGTTTTGTCGTCTCATTCCAGGTTTTTTTTAAATGAACGTTAAGACTGTATAATTATAGCACATCTGTTTCAGGATTTTTTTAAAAAACAGGTATATATTTCTGTATTTTAGGCAGAGATATTTTCTTGTTGTTGTTGTTGTTATTGTTATTGTTAAAGTTGAGCTGAAGAGAAAAGTTTGAAAAAGTGGCCGAGTGAACCTTAGCTGAACAAACTGAGATTCATCCTGATTGGTTTTAGGTTACTTTTTGAAGAAAGACTCAATAACAGGATACAACTGTCTCCCACCCTTAGATACATGACATGCTATAAAACATTGTTTCTTTGGCAAATGGCATATATCTTTCATGAACAATTACAGCAGACAGATATCTCCATTTTATAAAAATCTGAATTATAGAATAAGAAATCATGATACACAAGAATCTGGTTTAGTTTTCAATGCATAACAAAAAAAGTAATACACCGCTCTTACTGATTATAACAGACACAACAGAAAACTTTATATCCAGTGCCGAATAGAACAGTATTAGATCAATACATCTTTATTTAGAAAAGGAAATACACTGAAATAGAATATACGTGCTTAAAGGTTAGATTACTTGGGCTCCCATCTAATACATAATTAATTGTATTTACAAATTCAAAGCTCTGTTCTAAACACTGGCCACAAAGTATGAGTACTAAATAACTTATTTAATGTTATATTTATTATATGGATAGATAATGAGCAGCAAAATTGACAATCACTAGATGAATCAGTAGATGTTTTCTTGCAATATATTGTATAAACATTTGTCTCTAATTATCACACCTGAAAAAACAAGCTTGTAAATAAGGACTAGTCAATTCTAGTTCTTCCTCACAGAAAGGACCAAAAAAAAAAAAAAAAGCAAGAAAATAGCTAATGCTCTGCCCCCAACCTCTTGGGCACCAGTGTCTGGTCCCGTGTTGAGAGGTTTTTCCATGGACCAGAGGGTATGTGGTTTCGTATGCTGCTTGCATCCCACAGGTGGGGTTTGCTTGTTTGCAGGGCCCGGTTTCTGGCATGCCGCGGCCCTGTACTGGTCCACAGACCAGGAGTTGGGGACCCTTGAGCTAATGAGTTCTTTTTATTTCTTTTAAGACAAGAAATGCATGGAAATTTCCAGGAGGCTTGTCTGAACCAGGTGAAGACATTGGTAAGTAGCTATAGAAATTGTTACATCAGTTATAAATAAATTGGTGCCAAAACTTACAGATTTCAGAACTTAGTCCTGAATCTTGAAATTTTTTTATGAAGATTCAGGACTTTAAGTTGTAACTGAGGTAATCAATACTGAATCAAAATCGCTAATATTGTTATTATTTAATACAAACATTTTCTTAATTTATATAGATTATCTCATATTTTATGTGGCTGTTATCCAGTTAAATTATGGAGATACCTGTTATTAGTTGAGTGGTAAAGAGATGTTTTGGTTAAATATGAGCCAAACAGCAATTTGTAGAATGGCTTATTATTCAGCCTTTTTAGAAGTGGTTTAATGATAGCACCGATAATCACTGTCTTATTGAAATGGTTGCTAATTTAGCTACCTCAAAAATGGGAGTAATGGCACACATGAAAAGGGAAACCGTGCTTTGCCAATAAGATAATTATATCTGTATGTATCACCTTTATTCCACATACAAAGGCAGACTGGAGAAACTAATCTGAGGTTTTAAATTAAATAGCTGCTGAAGGCAGAGGTGGGTTCTACCTACCTTTTCTACTGATTCACAACAGACTCGCGCTCCTTGCTTCTGCGCATGCGCAGATCGCCAATGACATCTGGCGTGGTGGATGGGGACTTCCACGGGTTTTACTACCGGTTCTTGCAAACCGGTCCCAACCGAGGGCAACCCACCACTGGCTGAAAGGTATCCTCAAAGTACTTAGAACACTACTTTTCAGTAGGGATTTTAAAGCTTTGAATATAAACATTTGAGATAATAAATCCCAGATAACAAATCCTTGTCAAAAGGTCGCAGAAGGTGATCACATGATCCCAGGACACCAGCTGTCATAAATATGAGTCAATTGCTAAGCATCTGAATTTTGATCACATGACCATGGGCATGACGGTCATAAGTGTGAAAAATGATCATAAATCCCATTTTTCAGTACCGTTGTAACTTTGAACGGTCAATAAATGAACTATTGTAAGTCAAGGATTGCCTCCATTCAGGAAGCTGAATCATAATTAATTTTCTGTTTTTTTGTTTTGTAAATGTTTATAATGTCATCTCTTTGATAAATGTTTCAGAGCTGCTGCAAATTTGCAGCAATATATACACAAGCCCAAATTCATCAGTTTTAATGGCAGTGTCTAGTTGCTCCCAAGTAATATATTTCTCGATATACATTTTTTGCTATGGCCCTTAATACTTGTATAGATGTTGTATTGTGGCTAGTACTGCTTATTCCCCTTAAGAACATATCCTAAATTGAAATGTAGTGGTTTCAAACCGAAAATCACAAAGTTTAGTTTTTTTGCTCTCCTCCTCCATGTACCCTCCCAAATCTGCTCTAGAGGGTCTCCCAGTCCTTTAGAACAAATCTTGGGAGAGCAAGGGGGCAGACAATTAACCTGGTCAATTAAAGATACCTCTTTTATCAGTATTTATACACAAGTAATAACACTCAATTCAATCTGATAACAATTAAATGAATTATTGCCAAATAATATATTTATTGCCAAAAATATTCAAAAAGACTAATAATGTCTCTTTTTTTATTAAGAGCAGTATAATCACATTGCTCTGAAAATAAAAATTGAAAATAATTAAGTTATGCTTGTTACATACATTAATAAGTAATTAAACAATATAATGTTGCATTCGTTTTAAAATGCATTAACTTTGACCAACTGTTTTCTACTAGAAGCTCTCAAATTTCAGATATATATCTTTCTTAAAGTGACTTCAATAATTATTTTACACTATAATTGTAGAGAGCAAGGAAAATGACTGTGACAGAGATAAGCAAGAGCTGTTGCCTAGAGAAAAGAGGCTGAACCATTTAAGTCTAGAAGAGTGAGATAACATTTGGAAGTGGCTCAGACAGATACTTCCCTAATTGACTGAATTAGGGGAAGAGGTTAAATCATAATTTGACTTGTAAAATTGATATCAGCTTCATTAGGTGGACCAGACCAGGAAATTCTATAAGCCTAAAACTACTTTCATTGAGGGTGGCTAGAATAGTAGTCTAGACAATGGTTTCTGCATATTTCTGCCAAAGTTATTTTCCTTACTTTCTACAGCAGCGGCTCCCAACCTTTTGGGCACCAGACTGGTTCCATGGTTTTTCCACAGACTGGGAGGGGCGTGGTTTTGTGTGCTGCCTGCAAACCGTGGATGGGGCTTTGCTTGTTGCTCGGTCTGGTTGCTGGCATGCCGCGGACTGGTGCCAATCCATGGACCGAGAGTTGGGAACTCCTGCCTCTGCAGCAATTGAAGTCTCTATAATGATTGTTTGCATGAGGGTTTTTTTTTTCAAACCTATCTAATATTTTACAAGCTCCTAAAATTATAATTTCTGGTTAAAACTCGTATATAAGTTCATTCTTCCTCTTAGGGAACACAGCAGTTCGAGAAGTTTTTGAAGAGACAGGTATAACATCTGAATTCAAGTCTATTCTAAGCATACGACAGCAGCATGGGCAACCTGGAGCCTTTGGAAAATCAGATATGTACATAATCTGCCGTCTGGAGCCTTCTTCTTTCCATATTAATTTCTGCCAGCAGGAGTGCTTAAGATGTGAATGGATGGACCTAACAGAGCTTTCCAAGTCAAAAGAAACTACTCCAATCACTAGCAATATAGCTAGATTACTTCTCTATGGATATCGGGAAGGGTTTGATCAAATTGATATATCAATGAGAGAATTGCCAGCTGTGTATACAGGTCTTTTCTATAAGTTGTACCACAGAGAGCTGCCAGAAAATTATAGAAATGTGACAGATACGCAGTAAAATTAATACTGTTTTTAATTTAAGATTATTTGAAACCAAAGTCTGTGTGTGTTTTGTTCCAGATTAAAATCAATATTTATGTTTATGTCTTTTAAAAAGATATTATCCTTAAATAATAAAAATTCTGTAGACTGCATATTTTAAAACTTTTTTCACATTCAGTAGCCTAAATCAGAATGTCTACTCCTAAATCATAAGATTAAAATGATTATAAAACTGGAACTGGAAATACTTAACTAACTGACATATTTAAGTGGAACTATGTCTCCATGCCACACTCACATTAGTATGCATACACAAACATCCTTACATAAACGTAGAATGAAAATGGTTTTCAGTCTTATAGTTCTACACTGTAATGATATCAAATTAATTGGCAAACACAGTTGATTGGAAAATATCACATTAATTTGTCTTGTGGAGGAGGGAACATCTACTGTTGTTGCACAATATTTTATGAATTGTGACACTCAAATCAACTTTTGGCAGACATTGGAAGGAAAAGAATAGCTTTCTGTCCTCGTCCAGTTTTTGGTCCAGGTTTGTATTGACCAGTTCGTTTCAGTGCTATGTACCAATCACAATATTTACGAGACCGATATGTGTTATAGTTATTAGATTCCAAGCGTTCAAAAAAGAAGCATTCATCTGTTATATATTTCTGAAAAAAAGAAGAAGGAGGTATTATTTATAGCCTTTGTGAAAAAATAAAATGATTTATCAGATATGTTCAATCTATGTTGAGTTTAGTTCAAATCATAACATTTTAACTGCAGATTTCCTCATTTACCCATCTTTACACACAAACATATCATAAATACTACTTAAGTGTAAAGTAACTGCTTTCTACAAATTAGTTTCCTTATTTCCATGTGAAAGATTAACATCATTATCATTATGATATTTTAGTAGGAGTATAGTAATGAACTGAAAAATCTATAGCTGCAAATACTTATTTTGGATTAATACTTTTCTGAATATCAGGGTATTACATTGTGTCAGTCACATTAAAATCCTGTTTTAACTTTTAGAATATAAATGACTAGCATTTAATCTGACCTAAAATTTAAGGACAATTGACATTTTATGAATTTAAATGAAATTATTCCAAATTTTGATTAATGGATTATTAACCATTTCATTGATAATATAAAAGAGGTAGATGGAGTTACTAAAGAATGAATGATAGTAAAGTAACTGAAGTGGAAGGAGCTGGCATGTGGAGGATTTCACATATAAACAAACCATTATTGAGTACTTTTATACCAAAAATGTTAGGAAACATCAGTTCTTCAGTAATTTGCCACTGAAAATCAGCATTATTATTTCAAGGGCAATGAAAACCACAAGAAGGACCTTCTGTTACCCTATTCTGATATAATGTATAAATAAATCACGTGGAATAGTTGAACTTGCAGCATTTCAGATCAAAACTAAAATGTTGCTTTGGAGTGCATGGAGGAATGTATGTAACCCTGCTCACAGTGCCCTGAATCCTAAAGTCCTTTTCCCAGGTTTGCATGGCAGTTGCATGATCAGGAAAATATGTTTTTGGTTTAAAGAGTTCCAAACAGGCACTACATGTGCCTTCAAATCTGAAGTGCTACGGAGTCCTATAGAATATCCTTCAAAGTTAAACCTAATTTCCTCATCAGTTTACCCAAAAAGCAGACAAACATGACTCCATTATAGTGAAAACTAACATGTTGAAGACCAGAAGAAATGCTGTTGATAAGAACTTCAAAAGTGGAGCCTATGGAGTTTGGAGACAAAACTTGGAGACCACAAGTTCTTCAAAAATTTAGCATTTTTAGAAAACATTCTTCAATATTCTAGAAATTTATATTTAAATTTAAATATTTAAAGTTATATTAAATTAATATTTATATTTATATAAAATTATATTTATATTATATAAATAATAATATTTATATTAAAGCTGCTGTCCTAAAGCCTTAATTATGAGAAGGGAAAAAATTGAAAGGAATTGACAAACGCTTACCAGTGCTAACAATCGTCCATCTTCATTCATAGCAAGGAAACGGTTTGCACGTATACCTTTGATTGACACCACGCCTCTCTCTTCAGCTTGAAGTATTAACTTGACTGAACAGAAAGAAAAAGACAATCATGATGTTTCAATAATTTATCAGCCTACAAGCTATTCTTCAGTTTGCTTAAAATTAAGGTCTGGATACATACATGGAAAAATAAATCTAATTAATTTCTTTGCATATGTATCCTAAAGCCTAAAAACATTAAGAGTTTAACTTTTGTAGAAATAAGATACATTATTCAAATAATGTACATAATAGATATTGCTAAATTAACTGAATGTCCCATATGAGCTAAAATAAAAATTCTAATAGAGCACATTTTCTTGGAATAATATTTCATATTCCTACCACAAAATCTTGGAATAATCCCAAGTAAGTCATCAAGCTTATTGCTTAAAATGCATGAATATTGAAAGCCGCACAACATGGACTTTGTAGTACCAAATGGACTTTGTATGGTAGTATTGTACTTGCTAACTAACATAGTTATTTGGTATTTTAATTTGGCTTATTTTTCTCTCTTAAATGATGTTAATGGTTTACTAAACCATTGCAAACTGGAATGTAGAAAGGTCATTGTTTTGTTACTGGAACATTCCTAAACTGCAAAATAAAAACTGCCTTTGCTCTCCAGGTCAGGATAGGATAAGACTATGTTAGTTTTAATAGGATCAGTGGTGGGTTGCTCCTGGTTTGCCCCAGTTCAGGCGAACCGGTAGTGGCAGCGGTTCCACCCACCCACCTAGACATCATCAAAAATGCTCTGCGCATAGACAGAAACGCCATGCACTCATGAAGTGAGCACGCCCGCACACTATCGATAGTGAACTGGTAGTGCTGGGATATGAAACCCACTACCGAATAGAATGTCTGTACTTTATCTTCGGATAAGAAAGAAAGCTAATTGACATCTGGTTTGTCTCTTCATGAACCTATTCTTATTAACATGCTAAATTTTACACCCCTACTTACATTACAGCTCATTTAAATGCAACATGTTTAACTCCATGTAACTGATTTCCTATGCAAAGGGGGGGGGGTGCTTTTCTCCTATCCAATCAACTTTTCTTTTGTAATTTCCTTTGATGTCTTAACTATAAAAGAGAATGTAAGATGGGTCTCAGGGTTCCCTCTTTGAATGAGAGCAATCCTTTTTATCAGAACATTCTGAATAAATCATAATAAAATGGTCTTCCTGTCTCAGCTGTTTCACTGAAAAAATATGCATACTGAGGCACAAGCCTAGAACCAGATTTGGCCTTCACTATTGCCATCACATTTATATTAGAAACATAGGGAAGTAATTGGGAGAAATCCAAGACATTCAGGCACAGAATAGTAAAGGGGGGGGGACCCTGATCCTTCCGTGTAGGTAATGGGAAGATAATCAAAACCTGGGAAAATCAACCTCTAAACAACATGAATGGGAACATGAGGTTTTCAAGAGGAGGAAATGAGCCCTATTTTGCTTTAGCCTATATTCCTTTGTGTTAATTCATCTCTGGTGCTGTGAACTTACATAGCATAGACTACTAGAACTTATTTTAGGAAATCTGATTTCAGCCATAATGACTTTCATAGTGTTTGTGTGTGAGAGAGGGTGGGGGATTTAACCACAATAATCCTATTTTTCTTTCTCATTATGAATAATAGAACAACAGAGTTGAAAGGGATCTTGGAGGTCTTCTAGTCCAACCCCCTGCTCAAACAGGAGACCTTATACCATTTCAAACCACTGGCTGTCCAATCTTTTCTTAAAAACCTCCTAGTATTGGACAACCCACAATTTCTGAAGGCAAGTTGTTCCACTGATTAATTGTTTTAACTGTCAGAAAATTTTTCCTTAGATCTAGGTTGCTTCTCTCCTTGATTAGTTTCTATCCATTGCTTCTTGTCTTGCCTTCTGTCCCTTGGGAAAATAGGTTGATTCTCTTTTCTTTGTGGCAATCTGTCAAACATTGGAACACTGCTATCATGTCACTTCAGTCCTTCTTTTCACTAGACTAGACATATCCAATTCCTGGGTATGTCTACTCTAGTGAAAATGAGCATATATATATATACCAAAATATACTTTAAAAACAAAATTGAAAATTAAGTTTTAAATTGCTAAAGATAAAAAAATGTATTTTTACATTCATATACCAAAACTAGTCTAAATAATTTTATAACCAATGTTTTCCATTTAATACAGAAGGCTGTTAGTCATAAACAGGCTATTCATCTGATCCACCAAAAAATGCTTAATGACCATAGACAATTATGATTGCTTTGAAATTACAGTAAACCTTTCATTTAGCAGGCTATTAAAGTCAAATGGGATTCTTGAAACTCCAAAACGTATGTCAGAAAAACTTATTTTCCAATAAGAGTGAATAGCCATGATAAGCAGCAGCAGCAAACATTGTCTAAACTGATTTGCTTGAAATTAGGAGAAAATTTGGATTCTGTACATTCAGTCATTAAAATCCAAAGTCTCCTAAACTAAGGAGCATTAAATTGAGGATTTACAGGAATAAAAACATTATACCAATAACAAACCAAATGTGCCCCAGAAATGCAAAATAGAGCTTCCTCCTTGGGGTATATTACACCTTTTTAAAAAAGGACCCTAAATAGAAATGCGGACCAATTTCTTTTGCTACTCGAATATGATTAGGTAGTCTCCAGATTAATACTATACTGTATACTTTCTATTCCAGATTTAGCATTCCAAGGCTACTTCTTGTTAAACAAAGCATCAGTTTCATGATACCAGTTTATATATTATTAGGTCCCCTATTTATAAGTTTGGCTTTGCTATCTGTAGTTACGACTATTGTTAGAAACACCATGTTTATTTGTTACCACCAAGCATATATAGTAAAGGTATAATAAATGAGTAAAACATCTTTCAACATCTACCTGGAAACCTGAGACTAATTAATAGAAGGAAAGCAGGATAACTGTTCCACTGATTGCGAAAACAATGAATTAATACTTCCATGTAATAATGAATTTAATTTCTACCATGCCTTATTAGATATAGGTAGATGCTAGAACATCCCTCTCACAACATTTTTAATCTAATATAGCTCTACGTACAGAACTTGCAACATTTTATAAGCATTGCTTGGATTTAATTGCATTATAATTTTAAAACCTTAAAATTTTTAAACCTTAAAACTCAATATAAAATGTGTGACTACCTCCTTAAAGTAAATGCCTTTGTTAGTGTTGGAAATAATATAAAGAACCAAACAATCGTTGGATTTTGCAAACTGAAAGATTGTCATTTGCATAAAATGCATTGGACAATGTGAAAGAATAATAACTATATTTTTTCATTTAGTGCCTTCAAGTCATTAGCGGTCATTGCTTTGACAAGTCCATGCAGTGTTTCTTGATTTTTTGAAAGTGATTTGCTATTGCCTTCTTCCCAGGCCTGAGGGAAATTGAGTCACCTGGTTGATTTTGTGCCTTAGTCAGGACTAGAATTCACAGTTTCTCGGGATCTAGCATGGTGTCTTTTACCACTATTCCAAACTGGGTCTCAACTATGTATCACCAAAAGCATAAATAATATTCTGTAGCCCCCAATTTCTCCAACAAAGAATCATTCAAAAAATGACCAACAAAAAATTCCATTGAACTGTACACTATTTAAATAGTAGAGGCAATAAAGTAATACTCTTAATTTCTACCTTTGCTAAGAATTAAAAATGTACTATATTCTTCAAACAATACTCTACAGAAACTAGAGATGACCAACATTTTTCCAAAGAGTCAAGCATTAATATTTTTACACTTAACAGGGAAAAATATTATATTTGGCTCCAATCCTTCGTCCTTTCTGCTTTTTCTACTGTTCACCAGTTCTAGTGGCAGGAATCCCTTCAGCTCATCTGACTAATTTACTACCTGCATATCAAGTCAAGTGCATTGATCTTATGTTTTAAGACTGCATTGCAAATATATCAGATTTTTTAAAAAAAAAACTAATAACAATAATTTCAAAAGTAAATATGAGGTTGATGGAGCTGAAATCAGTAGAATTTATTTTAAAGTAAAGACATAGGATTGTATTTTAAATTTTATGAAAGTCATAAGTGCATGTGCTTTGGTTTCTGGTTTATTGATAATAGTTAAGGGGGTGGCTAAACTAAGAATTCAAAAGCTCAATGATGGTTATGGTGAGTATGAGACTTACTACTTTCTGTTTCCAGAGAGGAAGTGGTAATGATTTGTCAATTTTACAGTTTGTACAGTAGATATTTTTCAGCTTATTTTCATCTTTGGTAACAAATTCATATGGAAAAATTGAGGAGCTTTCCTCCCCATGTATATACATATTATGTCACAACTATGTATTAGTAGTGGATATATCATTCTGTTAATCAGGAACAATATGTTTATAGCAATCCAAACAGAATTCTAAGGCCTACACACTATTTGCTCATTCACCCCACACACAACTAAAATATTTAGGAAAGGAGCCTGGTGGAGCAGTGGACTAAAGCACTGTTAAATAGCACTTAGCTGCCAGCTGCCTGCAATTACTGCAAGTTCAAATCTCACCAGGCTCAGCCTTCCATCCTTCCGAGGTAGGTAAAATGAGGACCCGGATTGTGGGAGCAATAAGCTGATTTTGTATAAAAAAGAATACCGCTTAGGAGGGGCCAAAAGCCCTACTAAGCAGGTATGTACAAAAGTATGAAGGCTATTGCTTAACGCATTGTAAACCATCCTGAGTCTCCGGAGAAGGGCGGCATATAAATCGAACCAATATTTCTGCATGAACAGCTAAGAAAGAAAAGTTGGTTTTAAGCCAATAATTTGATGATTGTTTCTATATAAATGCATGAACCAATGGGTTCTTTTATCCAGCCTACTACATTCATAATATTTTTACCTGTCTGTCTTTTTTTTTTCTTTACAATAAGTTCCCTAATAATCTCAGGTCCCAAATATTTTAAACAAATAAATGAAATAAAAATATTTTCACTTTGCTTAGAACACTGCATAAGCCAAATAAAGTAAACAAACAAACTTACAAAGAGAAATAGAAGG